CTAGAGACTAGAGACTAGAGACCAGAGACTAGAGACAAGATACTAGAGACTAGAGACTAGAGACTATATAAAGACTAAATAAGAGAGGACACATGTAATAGTAAAAACTAGTAAGTAAGCCTTTTTCTTAAATACTTTTTTGCCGGCATATACGTTTTGAATAAAAAGTATTAAACAACAAATTCGTAACTTTAAAGATTGTTAAAATATGAACCATAACGCGTATGATTTCAAATAGAAGAAACCGAATGTCTCTAACTCTGGTTAGTCCGGGGTGAAGTAAGTATGTAAGTAATTACATATTTATAAAATATAAGAAAATCATAAAAAATTAAGTACTCCAGGAGAAAATATTTAAAAACCGCCAATATACCTTTGCCATTTTCAATTCACTTTCTTCTAAGTCTTGTTTTTCCTTCAACAGCTTTCGCCTAAAAGTTCAGGTTTTTAAAATGATTTTTACAATTTTACAGTTATTTTTTATTATTCGGGAATAAAAAAAGTGTGAAACAAAAAATAAAGATGACTTTTTTACAAATTCTTAAAAAATACTAATTCAGCCCCAGGTATTTTTTTGGGTAGGGAAAGCTTAAATAATATAACAAGTATCAAAGTGGCCTTTCGATCACGGTTTATTAATAAAAGCTATACCATGCTTTCTTTCGGGTCTTAACTAGAAAGGCGGGAAGTGGTAGGCGCTCCTGTGACTTAACCTCCCCCCTCCCCCGACCAGACGTTTCTAGCTGAATATTTTGCTTTTTTATGTTTTTAAATATCTATGAAAATCTATTCTTCCAACTTTTGATCAAAATTATCACACTATTAAATCCCTGATATTTGCATTGCAACCCTGAATCCAGGATCGCAATGTTAGATTGCAAACCTAGGGATTCAATCTAATTAATTGCAAATTTTTCTGCCAAAAAGTTGCAGATTTACAACTCCGAAAACATTAACTAGATTTGATTTCTAAACTCAAAAATATGTGTTACGAAACTAAAATTTGTTTACAATTACTAGGCTTTTAGGGCGCTTCGTGCCCATCATCTATTTCAGTTTTGAACATGATCCCTTTGTATGTACATTATAAAACAAAAACAAAAAATTTCGCGGATTTAAAAAAAACGTTGATTTTCAATATTTTCAAAAATCGAATTTTGTTCGAGGCAAATTTTTGAAAATTTAATCCTCTTTAAACCTTTCCTTGGGACATGTGAGGTACCACACAAAATTTGGGCCTGATCGGTTCTGCCGTTTTGACGTTTATTGGATACAAACGGACAGATAGACAAACAGACTTGAAATTAATCATATATAGATAAAACCTAGCTGAAGAAGCTTAATTTTATTTAAAATGAAATGCTATATTTAAGTTTTAAAATGGACAACTCGTCAAAGAACACAACTTTAACGTTTTTAACGTCAACAAATGCGGTAACGTCACTGTGCATTTATTTATTTTATCAGTCTGAAACACAAAAGTATTAATTCCAGCAAAAATAATTAAATGTAATTTTTAAAAAGTAAAAAATCAATTCATAATCTCACAATCTTAGTACAATTTACAATGTAAACATGTAAAAATGATGTAAATGTTATACAGTTTGTAATCAAATTGTCAAATTTATTAGAACCGGAAATAAAGATATTTAGATTTTAAAAAAAGAAAGATTTTTACCTCTGAATATATTTATTGTGAAGTGCTGGGCTAAATCTTTCTTCAAATCTGAACAAATAAATATTTAGTTTTCAGAAAATCTATTTAAAAGTAACTAATTAATCACCTAAAACTCTAATTTAATTTTCCTTATATTTATGCAGCCTGATGATCTAAAGCTTTGATATTTTAAAGTTTGACTAATAAAAGAACGCATAGCTTGAAAGGTCTACATCAGGTTGCAAAGCTATAAATATTGAAAAATTAGAGTTTGCTCCAAATAAGTTGTTCCTTTTAGAAATTAGTGATCACAAGTTACGACTAATAATTATACACTTGTACATAGATCCAGACTCGTCTACACTTGTACATAGATCCAGACTCGTCTACAAGTTGAATGAAGTCATAAGACTGGGTCGACTCGTAAATGTCGCAACGCATAGACCTTTGATTTAACTCTCGTTCAGTGTTTTTGTATATTTTACACCTATAAGCAATTGTTTCCAGAATCTGTTTTGTAACCCTAGACAATAGTAATAATGATAATGATGATAATAATAATAATAATGACAATAATGATAATAATAATACTAATGATAATAATGATAATAATAATAATAATGACAATAATGATAATAATAATAATGATAATAATGATAATAATGGAAATAATAATAATAACGATAATAATGATAATAATAATAGTAATAATAATAATAATAATAATGATAATAATCATAATAATGACAATAATGATAATGATAATAATGATAATAATGATAATAATGGTAATAATAATTAATAATGTATTCACACATCTACACAGTTTGTTTTTAATCTTTGTGAAGAAACAATCTCAAGGAATAATAATTGTCTTAAAACATTTTTTTAGAAAGTGAATATTTGCAAATTATCTTTTTTCCATTTCATAATCTGAGTTCTTTTCCCTTATGTCCATTTGACAGCCCAAATTTGATCAAAAGCGCTTTTTTATCGCATTAAGCCTATACCCCCTTTCATTTTTCGCGAACACTCCCTTTAATGTTCAGAAGAAAGATTTTATAAGTTTTTTTACTTTATTTGTTTTAAAATTTGATTTATATTGTAATAAAAATTGAAAGGAAATTCGGCCTTTTTCCCTTATTTATATAACTTTTTATACCTCTTAAAAAAATCAAACAGTCTAAAACAAATAATTTTACAGTCTAATGGTTTAAAAATTCGATTTTTCAAACTTAGATTATTTTATCTAACAGAATTCATAGTTTGAAATACAACATTGGGGTTGAAAGATAAAGGGATTAGAAGATCAGAATTTGTTGCAAAGACTCAAATCCTTTTGAATTAATTTACCTTGGTAGCTTGTAAACAGATTTATTTATTTCTACAGTTGGCTCCTCTAAAATTATATTTTATTATTAGCGATTGTATCAATACAATGAAGACGACTTTCTTATTCAATTTAGATTGTTAACAAGACATTTTTTCGAATTACAAGTTTATAAGTAATCAAAAAAAAGTCTTTTTACTTGACAACTTCTCTTGAATTCAATGTTTATGTGTATCCAAGGTGTTTAACAGCTTTATATTAATTGAAAGCGCTCTTCATTGAATTGATATATGCAAAGACAACTGTTACATTGTCATGAAACTTCATCCATATTGAATCTTCTTTAAAAACTAAAAAAATTAAAACTGCATTTTTTTTCATTTCAAGCACATTTCAGAGTAAAAAAATAATCTTTCCAATTCATTAAATTTGGTCCAGGTTCCACAAAATTCCTGATTCTTTGATTGGTTCAGCCGTTTCGACAAAATTCCATAAAGAGATCATACCTAGCTCCCTTCTTCTTCGTTCTCTTGCAGCCAAGGAAATCTGAGCAATTATAGCAGCCATTCTTAGTTCTAGAAATTTCATATTATAGTTGCCATTCTTAGTTCTAGACATTTAGTTTTATAGCAGCCATTCTTAGTTCTAGACATTTAATATTATAGTTGCCATTCTTAGTTCTAGAAATTTCATATTATAGCAACCATTCTTAGTTCTAGACATTAAATATTATAGTTGCCATTCTTAGTTCTAGACATTAAATATTACAGTTGCCATTCATAGTTCTAGACATTTAATATTATAGCAGCCATTCTTAGTTCTAGAAATTTCTTATTATTGTTGCCATTCTTAGTTCTAGACATATAACATTATAGTTGCCATTCTTAGTTCTAGATATTTAATACTATAGTTGCCATTCTTAGCTCTAGATGTTTTGTTTTATAGCAGCAATTCTTAGTTCTAGACATTAAATATTATAGTTGCCATTCTTAGTTCTAGACATTTAATATTATAGTTGCCATTCTTAAATCTAGACATTTAATATTATAGTAGCCATTCTTAGTTCTAGACATTTAATACTATAGTTGCCATTCTTAGTTCTAGACATATAACATTATAGTTCTAGACATTTAATATTATAGTTGCCATTCTTAGTTCTAGACATTTAATATTTATAGTTGCCATTGTTAGTTCTAGACATTTAATATTTATAGTTGCCATTCTTAGTTCTAGACATTTAATATTATAGTTGCCATTCTTAGTGCTAAACATTTAATATTTTAGTTGCCATTCTTAGTTCTAGACATTTAATATTTATAGTTGCCATTCTTATTTCTAAACATTTAATATTATAGTTTTCATTCTTAGTGCTAAACATTTAATATTATAGTTGCCATTCTTAGTTCTAGACATTTAATATTATTGCACCTTTTTTTAGTTCTAGAGATTTAATATTATAGTTGTCGTTCTTAGTTTTATACATTTAATATTATAGCACCCATTCGTATTTCTAGACATTTGATATGATAGTTGTCATTCTAAGTTCTAGACATTTAACATCAAAGCAACCAATCTTAGTTCTAGACATTAAATATTAAAGTTGTCATTCTTACATCTAGACATTTAATATTATTATTTAATATTATAGTTATCATTCTTAGTTTTACACATTTAATATTATAGCAGACATGTGACCTCATTTACACGTACATTTACAAGACACGCTTTTTGTTCAATTTAAAGCCTGTTTTTTTATTTAGCGTTAGTCTGTATTTGTCCTATATTTGTTTCTCAGGCCTAGGAATCAATGTTTAATAAGGGTCTGTTACTTCATTATTTATGTATCTTTAATATAGATCCAGGGGCGACCTATGATATTTTCCTGGGGGGGATTTTGAAAAATATTTACTCCCCCCCCCTCCCATGGAATTCGCAATTGCACCAAGCTGTATTGCGCATTAACTATTTATAAAATGATTATTTTTCGTGTTCCAGTCAACAAGAAACCTTATGAACAATAAGAACCATGTTAAAATATAATTATATTATTATTATTATTGTTGTGTTTAGCCTCTATTCCGATGTTAAGGTAAATAATTAAAGAGAATAAAAAGTAAAAGTAAATTTAACCTAAAGTCTGACCGTGTCAACCTTGTTGCACTGGCTAGTCCTATTGAGTGTCTGCTTTATTTACCCAATTTCTGGGCGATACAGTACAAACTGGGACCGGAATAGTTGACCCGGCTCAGAGATTCAAATGTACTACGGCTGCCCGTGTTGTACACTTTGAATTCCTTTTCAGACTCAAATGGATGAAGCAAATTTCTCCCCCAGGCGTAGTCTTATTTCCTTTCTATTCTAACCTTTGTTCTGTAAATCAAAGAGATTATACAGGGGAAAGAACTTTGCTTGCAATCTACTTTAAATTGTAATAAAGGAAAGTTTACCTTCATTTTAAAGAGACTGTGCACATAATATCAAGTGACCCTCCAAGCAAAAAAGGGGAATACCCCATTTAGAGCTGTACTTTATAAACTTTTGACTGATCATCGACGGCTGGGATTAGAGAACTATGTAAGTTTATCTCTAAAATGGTGTTAAATTCTCCAAATAAAAACTGTACATACACACTGTATGAACTCAATCCGCATAACTTTCATTTAAATTTAATACACATGAAACTATTTTTTTCCATGCGACTTCTGGAAAGTAAAATTAATTTTTCTTAATTAAGAAACCGATTAGAAAAAAACACTTTAGGGGTAAGCTCTCTGTCTTTTACAACTTATGTGTGCCAAAGTTAACAAAGAGATTTCCAAATATTATTGTAAGCATGGAAAGAGGCTTACTTGTAAGTTAGTAATCATGAAGGATCAGAAGAAGGTTTAAGATTAACTTGTCATATGATACGAATGAAACGCTTTCCACGATTCGTTAGTATCAACCATTATTTGATCTTTTTTTTATTATGTAAATATATTTTTTCCTATACTCTGTAGATTTACTCACATCAGTTTCAGGCTTTAGATTTCCTTTATTTTCTATTACTTTTAAATGGTAACATTACATAGTTGAATACCAAACCATGCAAATGAAAGAATTGGATGAAAAAAAAATTCTTAAATGTTTATTAATATTTACACTGGAGCACATTTTTATTTCTTTTCTAATAATTTACAGGGCTAAAAACTCTAATCCCGTTTTTTTGGGGTCACCCTGTACAAGTAGAGGGTCACTTAAAATTGCGTTCACAATCCTTTTTATGGGAAAATAACACATTTAGTTCGAATTGAAAATTAAGTTGATAATTTCTTTTAATGATTTCCTTCAGGCAAGAAATTCTACAAAAAAGATAGAATGGAACAGACAGCACATTCAAGAAAGGTAAACAAACATTTAACAGAACAATGTTCTATTCAATCTAGAAGAAAATGTACTTGCCAGCAGAGGCGCAACTAGGGGGGGGGGCGGCCGGGCGCGCGCCCTCCCCTAGCACCTGATAGGGGGGGGGGGCCCCCCCCCCCCCCTGCAGAATGAAAAGAAATAAAGAATGGCAAAAATCAGTATCTCAGGAATAAGAAAACCAATAGAGTTATTGCAGAAATTTTATTATACTATAGTTAGTTTTAACAAATATATTTTTATCTTTCTCAATTCTCAAGGCTAAAGGTAGGGCTGGGCACGTTAACGGTGGAACGATCGTTCTTTCCCGAGAACGAACGGAACGATCTAGAACGATCCCATCGTTCCGAAAAAAAACGAACGCTTAGAACGCGTTCTTAAAAATATTGGAACGATTAGTAAAAGAACGGAACGGAACGGGAATTAAAATAATATATTGCCCCCCCCCTAGCAAAAGTCCTAGTTGCGCCTCTGCTTGCCAGGTGTCCCACGAGATATGTCAGGAGGAAGACGACTTGAAGGTACTATTTGATTTTGAAATAATTTGTGGCATGTTTTTGTAAACCTACGTTGTCGTTAAGTAATAAATTTCTAGAGTTAACTCCTAGTCTTGGCATTTCCAAAATGTGTTCTGCTTTCAATATTACCGGAGTTTTATTTAATAAAATGAACTCTGAACTTGGAAATGCCAGGACTAGGAGAATTTTGTCTATATTGTTTCAAGAATCATCATACTAAAGTAAGTTAACAAACTAATGCCGGAAATGATTTCAAAACTCAAAGACAACTACCGTCATGTTTCGCGGGACACCATGTATATTAATATTTTACGCAAGAACGCATCACTATTTAAGATTTAATATTTATGCTTTACTCTTTATTAACTAGTTTGGTATCTTGGTGGCGAAAAATTATACTTTCTGGTAAAAATGTTCATCTTTTGGATACAAACTGTAATACGTTATCCTCCTTCTATCCTGGATACTTGAATACCAAGGACAGGAAGCTTATAATGGTTCCCGGAGCGAAAACGAGTAGGTAGGGTTTCCAGCGAATTAAGGAAATCGTTTAGCATTTTTTCGCATTCCGTTTGTGAAAAAAATTCATGTTACGTTAATCTGTTTCGCGCGATAAAAAATAAAAATATTTCACAAAATTCTGCATTGTTTTCGCATCATTTTGCACAATTCATTTCGAAAAAAATGCGAAAATTCGCGAAAAAGTTTGAGAAATCCGAAAGTTTTCTTTCGCTGAAAACCCCTGGAGTAGGAAAGGATGGCTGTGGGTTGGAAATCAGAGGCATGATGGGTTTCTGTACGGGGATAAGGAGCTACTGATCTTGGGTCGAGGAAACTTGACATATATATATCCAGATTTTAAAACTGGAATCCAGGTGGCTTTAATTTCGATACAATTATCGTTTAAAACTTTTTTTAATAACTAATTTTATAAAAATTGGACTGATTCAGGATTGTTAACTAAGTTGATAAAAAATGAATACGAAATTTTTGGAAAAATTTTGTAAAGCGGGATGAAATTTTACAAAAAAAATCCCCTGATAAGATTTTGAAACATAACACCCCGCCGGCTAGAAGTAGTCAAAATTGAAAGACTCATGAGTTATCACCAAAGATATAGATATAGATATAGATATAGATATAGATATAGATATAGATATAGATATAAATATAGATATAAATATAGATATAGATATAGATATAGATATAGATATAGATATAGATATAGATATAGATATAGATATAGATATAGATATAGATATAGATATAGATATAGATATTCAATTAGCTAACGACCCATGGGAAAGTTCTCTAACAGTCTATATAAGAATAAAAATAGTATTCCAAACGCAGTGTAAAAAAGTTCAAAGTAAAAAAGAACTTATTTAACCTAAAATTTGATCTTAAAGGGGGGGGGAGCATGTGCCGATTTCCCTCACCCTCCCCCACCGTGCCTTTCCAATTACGGCCATGTTGACGAAAATGACGAAATTACAATTTGCAGCAATTGTACGGTTCTTTTTACAACACATGAGGCCATGCACAATTTTAAGTTTATTTCTTGTTGTTCAGGGGTTTTTTGATGGCCGAGAACTTCAGTATGGATACGAAGTGAAAATAGCAGGAGATAGGCTACGGAAAGGAATTAAAGAATTGGTTTTTAAACCTCGGTCTCCTAGAAGATTCTGGAGAAAAGACACACAGACCGAACCCTTTATTAGTTCACAAAGACGCTCCATAGACCCTCATGAGTACAGAACAGTCTATGTTGGAAGGAAGGGTTAAATGAGTTTTTAAGAATAATTTTTCCTGATTAACTGAAGAAATGTTTCTTTGAATTTTATCTGTTTGTTTACTCCTTTCATTTTGTCTGATCAATGTCCATAATTTACAAAACTTTTTGTTTTAACTGACTCAGGGATTTCTAAAAAAGTGGCTTGCGCATTTATGCTGCAGGAAAACATATCAGAGTTTTCAGAGATTAACAGAGATGGAATTTAAAGAATTTGAGCCGCGGTTTAAATCCGCCAAAACCCGGTTTAAATTTAGCGCCGGCTTAAATCTTGAAACATTTGATACAATTTTAAGTTGAACCAACCATATTTAAACCGCAGCTTAAATTTAAACCGCAGCTCAAATTCTTTAAATTCGGCCACAAGACTATCTTTTACCTTTTGATCAGAAAATTACGCAATCCCTTTAAATAAGATTAAGGAAATCTATTCTTTTATAAAAATGATAATCTTTGTCAAATAAGAAAGTAAGGAGGGAAGTTATAAAAATGTTCTAAGATTGTTTCTATCAAGATAATGTATGTTTAAAAAAGTAAATGTTAATATTAACCCCTGTTGGAAGATCAAAAATCCCTGGAGCCGGGGAAGGACTGTTTGCAAAACGAGATATTGAGCCTGGAGATCTAGTTTCATATTTTGGTGGACTCAGAACCTTTCACAGAAACTACTTGTTCAATAATATGACTTGGAATGAAAGACACGCCGCTCTTGTTTTTACGATATCAGTTGGAAGGCAAAGTCCTAAACATTGGGGGATTGATGAAGATTTGGTTATTGATATACCGCCCAAATACAGGTAAATAAATATATATACTTTGTTTGTCTGCCTGTCTATCTGCCTTTTTGTATTCAATGAACGTCAAAACGGCTGAACCAAACGGTTCCACATTTTGTGTTGGACCTCACATGACCCCAAGGAAGGTTTTGGATGATAACATTTTTTTTTAATGTTATATAAAATTTAGTAGAAGGGGATTATTCATTTGGCGTTCCACCTCGTACTGCCTTCTATAGTCTGTATTTGTACTGCGTATAGCTTTCTTAATCCACTCATAAATAGGAAGACGACTTTTAGACTCATTTTTATCTAAATAGTCAAATATGCCCATGAGATCTATAACGGCAATTGTGCATTCAGTTATTAATTGATTTAATAACTTAAAGTATAACTATTTGCTTTGTAACAACATGTAACAAATACACTTAATTTGTGCTTTAATGTCGTCTTCCTAGTCCACAGTTTTCTGTATCTCACAAGTGTACTGCATGCAGTTTGATATAGAAATATAAACCAAATAGATTATCAAGTACAATAGGTGGCAAAATTTCGAATTGGATCGGGCCTGATCGGTTCAGCTGTTTTGACGTTTCTTGGATACAAGCGGACAAACAAACAAACAGACACTGCACCCAGACAAGCAAAGTATATATATAGAAGTATTCTCTACACTGTTTTATTAAAGGGAGTGTTCGCGAAAAATGAAAGGGGGTATAAGCTTAAAGGGAGTGTTCGCGAAAAATGAAAGGGGGTATAGGCTTAATGCGATAAAAAAGCGCTTATCATCGCTACTAATCTTACTTCTATCTGTTGCGTCTATAAGGAGAAAATTGATAAAGACGTCTCATACCGAAGAGCGTAGCGCCCATACAAATCGAGGAAGTTGTAACACTCCTTTTAAGTGTTAATCCCTCTACCTAACACACTGTATTTCCACCAGCAAAACCCAGACTTGCTCAAAAGTCTTCGGTCCGGTTTTGGTTAGTGGAAATACAGTGCATGCATTTTCAGAAGTGTTGAAGAATACCGAACTACACTAGGACATAAAGTTAACCATGGGTTTGATTGGTTCCAAGAAACAAATACAGTGTTTGGGTTTGTTATTCATCCTTTCCTGGGTAAAATAAGATGTCTCCTTGCAGGATTGTGCTTTCAATTTTTTCCATTTTATACCTTATTCAGTAAACCTTATATGAGGTACTGTAGATGTAATTTTTCATTTCAGCTGCAAACTCAGATAAATCATTTATCAGGAAATTTCAATCACGATTATGAGGGGGGAGGGGGTTTACACACACCCTATATCTAAATATCTTAAAAACTAAAAACAGCAGACATTAGAACAGTTTTTCAAATTCATATTTGTTCAAAAGTCCTCTTTTGCACCCCAACCATTAAAGATAGAGGTTTTACTTTGTTTTAAAGAGCAGGCCTTGAAAAGTTGGACTAGGGACATGTATCACACTCCCCTATGTTAACTCTAAGGGAAAAATCATAAGGGTGTGGCTCATCCACCCACCCCCCATTCAATATTAGACAAAAATAGCTCAATCGAGATAGGGCAAGGCAGTTTCAAACTTAAATCATTTGCAAAGAAGTTTTAAACAAAAATATATTACAAGGCAACTAAAATAAATCATTTACTTCAAATTAAAAATAAAAATAAAATTAATCATGCACATATCAGTAAAACCGATAAAGAAACATGAAGAGCTGCGGGTGTCCTATAACTATGAGTAAGTATATTTAAACAATGTTTTTTCTTCATTTAAAAGCATTGCTCAAAAGTCTGTCTCTTTTAAAGATAATAAAATTTGTATATTTTTCATAGTTTTAAAACATTTTTAAGTTACGTGCTTATAAGAGCACTCTATTAAAAAGTGGGACGTTAAAAATGGTGCACTTTAAACATTTATCTTATCAATGATGGAAAAGATATTGTCAGTATTTTTTGTTTAAAAAGGTTTAATTCTTGTACATTTGCTGAAAAAGGTTTAATTCTTGTGCATTTGCTGAAAAGGGTTTAATTCTTGTGCATTTGCTGAAAAGGGTTTAATTCTTGTGCATTTGCTATAAAAGGTTTAATTTTTGTACATTTGCTGAAAAAGGCTTAATTCTTGTACATTTGCTGAAAGAGGTTTAATTCTTGTACATTTGCTGAAAAAGGTTTAATCCTTGTACATTTGTTGAAAAAGGTTTAATTCTTGTACATTTGCTTGAATCAGAAATCCTCAACGCACTCTGAAAACGAAACCACAATTAGAAGAAATAAATTTTTATAGAAAAAAGTGATTTAACTCTTTTATTGTAGATCAGAAAAGAAAAATTAAAAAAAATACGACCAAATAATGAGAACCCAAGAACCCCAATTTTCCATAAAATGATTATAGAATATTTTGTAAAGAGTGTAAATTTTTTAAATGTTAAATTTTGACCAATTGAACACTTAGAAGACATGATATAATTGCATAATATATACAATGGTATAAAACGGATAAAATACTGATATACAGTGCAGCCCAAAAACTTTGTAGTATAAAGACGACATTTAAACATTTGATGTTGTTATAAAGTGCGTAATGGATCTGTGAATACTGCACAGTTGCTTAGTGGAAAAGTCTCTGCAATAACAGTTTTATGACTATATTTCACAGTCTGTATGGGTCTTACTGTGAGTTTTGATCAGAATTTGACCGGATAAAAACAAATTTTTCGCCTTTCTTCTCTTTTTTCGGCATATGCTTTCTAGATGAAAAAGCATAAACACCACTCCCTAAATTTACCGGTTGATTGAGTTCAAGAAGAAACTGATCGTATCTATGATCTATCCCTGGTTAGTCCAAGTTAACTAAGAAATTTTGTTTTTACAGTATTGGAAAAGCTCCTCTGTGGTATGCAGCTCATCTGGATAAGCTGCTGAAAGCTGAATGTTCTAAGAAGAATATGAGTAAAGAAGAAAAAAACCTTTGTGTTCAATGCCAACAATTGCTAGATTCTTTCGTGTTGGCAGCTTCTAAACGGGTTTCATAAACATAGATACAGACTGCTGTGAAAATTGGCATAAATTTTTTTATTTGATTTTAAGCCCTAGACATGTATATTTTAGCTTTATTTTTAAAGAAGGAATTGACCAAATTCTCAAAAATTTTTGCATGATCACTGTGACACTTTTTTAGAGTGAGTAAAGAAAAGGGATTAGTGTTTTTTCACTGCCCATTTGTTTTTTTTTGCAGGTTTCATTTTTAATATCTAAAATAAAAAATATTGAATTATGGGATTAAAATGCAAATTTTTTTAATAAATCCGCAGACCATTTTTTTAGAAAAATTATTTTTTCTTCAGAAATCTTTTTAAAAAAAAGTAAAATTTTCAAAAATTAAAAGTCAACCTAAAACATGAAATTTTTATTTTTATGTGAAACAATTACTCGCACTATTTATAATACATTAATATCAAGGTAACGATAATTTTTTATCTTTTAAGGTTTATGAACCGTAAAAAGGCATTAGTAAACTATTTAAAATTTGTATTCTAGGAAAAAATATAAACTTTCACTAATAAGTTGGCAAAGAAAATAATTAAAAAATGTTTATGATAAACACTTTTTGAATGCAACAAAACTTTATAAAATTTCTTGTTAAAAATAAATAATAAATAAAAAAGTATATTAACATTTTAGTATTTTTATTTAAACCTCGGACGTGTTTTATTGAGCGTAGCCATATAACCTTCTTAAAAAAATTATTGATATCTTCAGGATCACAGGAGAGCTTTGTAACAACAGCTCAAAGCTATCAAAGTTCTCCTGCTGCAGTACTTTTACATATTTTTTCATGTGCTAATGTTTTGTTAATAACTGTACGTTAAAAGCCAGAAAATTTGAGCTTCCTAGCTAAAATAATTTTTGAGTTATCGCAAAAAAACGATCGGCGGGGGGGGGGTCAAATAGGGTTAAAAAATGAAAACAACATACATGCCACTTTTCTTCTCATTTCCTTTACTCTTTTTTCTTAAAATTTGGGCAAATTATTCCCACAACCTCTATTTTTGGAGGTTTTTAAGTTTTTCCTCTTCAAACATTAAATTTTGAATTTTTGAAATTAAATTTTAATCGTAATTTTTTAACATCTTCTTCTTTTTCTTTCTTTATTCTTTTTTTTCCTCTTCCTTCTTAGATGGGAATTAATTTATCAGTTTATTATTTTGACAAACCTTTATAACCTCAAAAAAATACAAATATAAAAAAAAATTAAAATAGAAGAATGAGTAGCAAAAAAATTCAAGGTTTACACAGAGAAAAAGAAAAGTAAAAAGAATAAAATAAAAATTCAAGAAAAAGCAACAGAAAGAAAAATAAATTTGAAAAAAATAAAAAAAACTGATGAATAATTGGTTTCCTCAGATCCTGAGTTTAATTAAGGAATCACTGGTCAGGAGAGACTACAAGAACTGCAGGACCGTTTCATAGAAACCATTTGAGATAGATAGATAGATAGATAGATAGATAGATAGATAGATAGATAGATAGATAGATAGATAGATAGATAGATTGACAGATAGATAGATAGATAGATTGATAGTAATATAGATAGATATTTATATATATTGATATATTGATCGATTGAATTATTATTATTGAATTACAAATTAAAAAGATAAGATTTTATTTTCTAAATTGATTGATTTATTGATAGATTGATTAAATGGTCAATTGATTGATTGATTTATTGGAGGATTGTTTAATTGATATATTGATTGATTCGTAAATTGTATAAATGATTATTTGATATATTGATTGATTGATTAACTCAAAAAATACTATACGCCCCCCCTTGTGCATAGAGCATAGGGCGGTTAAAAGTCCGGTCTGTGTAAAAAAAAAATATATAACCCACAACTTTTTTATGACTAAAGATACAGATCTAAAAACTATATTTTTGAAAAGCCCTAGCAACATGTCTCACACTTTGATATTTCTTTTAAACAAAAAAAAGATTTTAANTGAAAAGCCCTTGAAAAAGGTATGCAGAAACATGTCTCACACTTTGATATTTCTTTTAAACAAAAAAAAGATTTTAAACATTTTTTTTGGTTTTTTTTTGGTATTTTTTTTCAAAAATTTGGGCAATAAATGTGCATTTAAACCCTATACGTATTCTCTAGGCGATACAAAGATTCAGAACCCCCCAGCCTATAATTCGCCTCTCTCTGTAATTGGTTGAAGGTAATTCCCCGTGTTAGCTCCCTTTGCTCGTCTATTTAGTCCGACTATTGTTATATTAAAACATACTATGCAGGATTAGAGATGGGCCACATTTTTGTGGGCGAAAAAAAAACATAGTTTTCCGATGAAATAATAATGCATGTGAAGTTTATTTATTTCTGAAAAAATTAACAATTATTATCCCTAATTAAACCAGAGGGCCGGAGTTTATATCTAATAAACCATGATGACGGAAACTGAGCTGTATTTAAGATGTTTAACCAAGGTTTGACAAAATCCACTCATCGTACTCTTGCTTTCCTAAAATATTTCGTTCAGGTGAGAACCAGAAAACTTTGAAAAAGGAAGATATTGCTATAATGTCGTCTTCCTATTCCATTAATTTAAGGCTATTACTATATTAACTATGAAATATTGTAAATTGTTAAGAACCATAAGTAAAGTAAGTAAAGTAAAATAAGTAAAGTAACTGAACACTTAAAAACTACCATTTTTAAATCCCTATACTGTTAAAATATGATGTTTAAGACCTTTAATATGTTAAACTGTAATTTAATAGTCAACTTATAAATATCAAACGTTTATAACATTAACTTAGAAAATTTGATTATAAGGGAAACCATCAGCTTCTTTTTGACAAAAAAGAACTTTTAAAAATTCTTTTTCTTTCAAAAATTTCAACTTCGGCTCACTTATGAAAAGGACTTTCGAATTTAAACAGCAGCAGAAACAAGGAAGGCAATGGTAAAATTTGTATTTTGTATTAAAATGTCTTCACCGTTGTCTGTCAAATCATGTCAATTTAAAATAAATATGTAAGATTTAGATTGAAATGTTTTTAATAATAACAACTCTTATAGAAGAGCTTTTGAGAAGATCGGCAATGTTGTTGATTTCTATAAATTTAGGTTGAAGATTACCGAATACATTTGCTTTTCCTATACTTACGCGTACAATAAAAACTAAAGGAGCTACGAGGTTGGAAAGTCGGATTAAATATTAAACTTTGCCTTCTTTTTTAGACTTAGTTCTAGGTTCAGCACGTGGGAACCGTCTAGCTTCCAGTCCAGGGACTACATCACCAGATCTTAATCCGTCTAGACCATACACGGAGTTTTCTCCCTGGGTAGAGATGGGCGAAATTGTTTTTTTTTCTTCAATTCTCATTCATTTTCATTCTCATTCAAAATTTTAATTTAAAAAAATGATCGTTCATTTTCCATCAATTTTATTCGTTTTCCAACTGAACGAACGTATGTTCAATTTAATCTTTTGTAGTGAGATCGTTCCTTTAGTAAAATTATTTGTTCAATAGAATCATTTGTTAAGTTAAATTAACGGTCGTATTTTTCAAAGATTGTTCGAAAAAATCGTTTAGTATAAAAAGATAATTTTTCTAAAGTTTGTCCAAAAATTTACCGTTCATAAAATACGATCATTTTTCCTAAAGTTTGTTCAAAAAATTCCATCGTTCACAAAAAAACTTTCATTAATATCAAGTGCGTTCAAGCAAACGATTTAGAAATCGTTTGTTAATGGGCTTTCTTTAAACGATCCAATTTTTTCGCCCATTTTACGCAAACTTTTTAAAAAACGCTTTTGTTAATTTTAAAATATTTTGTGTTCGTTGATGAAATAATGCACATCTCTATCCCTGGGCTGCTGGCAGGTTGTACGAGTTGTACAGGCTTTCCAACTCCGCCAGGGGGATCGTGTCTTCTTGGGACTGGATATGTCTTGGTCTTTCATCCTAATACAGTGAGACTTATAAAATTGGGGAATATGAAGACGAGGGTTAAACTCAAGTTGAGATTTTAAAAAGTTAGCAATTGTACCATGCAGAGAACACTCTACAAAGGCCCATATTTTACTAAGGTTATTTTCAAGCTATTTATAAAAAAAAATTCTTTAATCAAGATGTTTCAATGTCATCTTCCTTCAAAAGGTCAGAGGTCAGAGGTCAGAGGTCTAACTAATCATTTATTTTTTATTTGATAACTAATAATTATGCAATAAAAACTGGAGAAAAACGTTATATAAGTTTTATTTTGATTTTTTTAAACAACATGCAATTAAAGGTTAAATTCATTTTCTTGGAAGTATCCTTGATTATTAACATAACTATTTCAATTTAGAAAAAGCACTTTTCTTAGAATTTTTTACTTAGAAACACACCCTTTCATTTATCATCCAAACATTTTAAGATTATAAACAAATGGGAATCTCTCAAAAAATCAAATATGTCATTGATTCTCTAAAATGCTAAAATACTAAAAATTAAATAAAAAATATTTGATGCTCTAATTTTATTTCAGGGTTAAAATTTGATTTTAAACTAGGCTAAATTTAAAACAAATTTAACAATGTTCAAAATCTTCAATTTCATTCATTTTAAAATCTGGGAATAAGAAAAGGATAAAGATTGTTCGTCATAAATGAATATCAATATTTTAAAAAAAGTAGGGAGCTTATTATTGGACACAAAATTTGAATTTTTAATCCCTCTAACTTTGAAACCTGATGGTTTTGCTAGTTAAATTGAGCAGATTTCATTGTTGGAAATATCAACGGTCTCCAATTTCAAGTAAAAAAGATACAATTTTAGGCAAATATTTGAGAAAATTATTGAAACGTTCATGCTATTTTATTCGTTTTCAATTGTAATTTCTTTTTTTTTGGTAAACTAAATAGAACAAAATTAAAAATTAATTTTTATAAAGATAAAGGTGTTAGGAATTTTCCCAAGGGTGGCTTCCCAAGGAACAATGTCCAAAATGGCAAGTTCCCAAATGTGCAATTTCCCAAGCGGCAATTTCCCAAAAGGTTAGAGGATAGGCCTTTTAAGGTGGCGTAGGCTGCGATAAGGGTCTAGCGCTGAACTAGGATGATCTAGGGCACTTTAGCTATTATGTAGATATAATAGGAATAGGATATAGGATATAGATATTTACTTACCTAGCGTATGCATACCAGGGAAGGGAAGATCATTGGATGTAGGATATAGATGTTTACTTAAATAGCGTATGCATACCAAGGAAGGGAAGTATCATTGGATATAGGATAT